CACCTACTGTGTACTGGGGATAAAACACCATGGCCTCGTTCTTTCTTAAAAAAATAGGTAGGTTTTGTTTATTCCAAAAAGTAAGACAAATGTCTGGTATACAGTTTTTTCATTATTGATTTTCTGAAGATTCTCATATATTGAAATAAAATTGGTTTCTTTGCAATTTCTCCCCCATTTACTTTAGTTTTACTGTGTGCAGCATAAGGAACAAATACAACCCTTCTCAAAATCAAATGTTGAAATGTTTGGAGGCAATCATTTTTTTCCAGCTTAGATTTGTCTTCTGGAGGCAGGTTCCCTAAGTTACTACCAGGGTGGCTCTTGGGGGACACACTCTGCTTCGTTACACTGCTCACGTGGTCTCTTTCTTCGTGTGCCCACCGAGCAGGAGCAGAGGGGCTTAGCAAGAGGTCATTGCAGTGGATTCAGATCATGACAATTGACAGAGCAAAGATGCGCAGTTTTGTTCTGGGTCTTCAGGGTCAGCTTCTTGGGACCATGACTTTTGTTTTTCCTTCTCTTTTCATTTTGCCAAATTTATTGAGATGTAACTGACACGAGACCAGGGTTCTTGAGCTGAGTGCTAGGGAGGGCAGAGAGGCAGACCTGACAATGAGAAGTGCATCCAGGGTAAAATGGAAGTGCGAAAGCTAGCAAGTTGAACTGCGGCTCTGGCTGCGAGGGAAAAGCTGGGGGAGGGCCGACACCCCTCCAGACACCTTCCGGTGTGGAAGTAGAACACTTTTTTTTTTGCTCTTGGCGGTAATGCCTAGAATTTACATTTTGTGTTAATTTGGCCTCATTTACATAATGCCTTATTATAAAGAATCGCTTAGATGTTGCCTAATTGCCTTCTTGCTCTTGCTTCCCGAGGGCTGAGATTATCAAGGTAACAAGTGACCTTTGCTTGGTGAAGGCAGAGAAATAGGATGTGATATTCCGTCATCACAGACCTTTTACCTTCATGTGTTTTTTTTTTATATTTGTTTTTTCCTAGCCCACAAAAACACGTTACGTTCTGTAGCTCCTTCTGTACGTGTCTGCTTTTATGTGTGCTTTCCTCGTAGACACGGCGTAGGTGCATCCTGTGACTGTTACATTCGATGTGGCTGTTGCTTTCTTTGCTTCTCCCACATATTCTTAGTTCTGGTTGTTCCTAGGTGCCCAGCGTTCTACTGAATAATCATTGGAGAATTATTATGCTTCTGTTTTTCAGTGGTTTATGCAATGCCATAATGATGATTTTTGCAGATTGAGCTTATTTCTACTGTTGGATCATTTTTCTAAGAGTGTCAATAACTCAGCTTCCCATTGGGGGAACATTGAGTTTTGTGATTTAGGGCTTTGGCCTCTCATTCTGGTACACCAGCAGCTACTTTGGCACCAACTTTTGGCATTCTCCTGTATCAGTCGGACCAGTTGATGTGACATTCTGCAGTGCAAGTCCAGACACCCCTGGTGTCGAAGGGACTGTGACATACAGGAAAACTGCAGCCCCGACTGTGGAAACACTGTCACAGAGAGATCGTCACAATCAGGGGAAAGGAGCCCTTTAACCTGAAGGGCTGAAGTTCCTCTCTATTTCCTCCTAGATTTCCTTTGAGTCTGCATCTTTCATCACCAGCTCAGAACTACACTTAGTCATCTTTTATATATTTTATTCACTTTTCCTACTTTGGTAACATAACTATTAGAGCAGAACCTTCTCTCCTTCTCAGTGTTTAAGTTATTGTTGCTGTGTTTGTCCCTACCTCCTATTCATTGCCCATCTTTTAAAGTTTTCCCTATATCAGTAAGTTGGTCCCCAAGGCCCCGGAGAGCTTTCTTGGTCTCCGTATACACCAGCCACGTGGTGCCAGGCCTGGGCATGTACACCAGAGAATGTTCACACAAAACATGGACCTGGATTTTATAACAGCCGCATTCATAACCATCAAAACTGGAAACAACCCACATGTCCTTCCACAGGGGAATGGAGAAGCCACAGTGTATCATACGTTGGAATACTACTCAGCAACGGAAAAGGAATTAACTATAAATACACACAAGCACTTGGGTAAACCTCCAAATAGTTATGCTGAATTAAAAAAAGTCAGTCTCAGGAGGTTACATACTGTATGAGTCCATTTATACAACATTGTTAAAAAAAGAAAGCTATAGTGATACAGAACAGGTTTAAAAATTAATATTAATTTGAAAAATATTAAAAATAGCCCATTTTATCAAACTATGTAGTCATGTGTCTTTTGACAAGTTACTTCACCTCTGTAATCTCAGTTTATTTACCTGTAAAGTGTAGAAAGTACTCTCTACCTTGAAGTGCTATTTAAAGATGAAATAAGATGCTACCAAGTATCTCCTTGACATGTAGGAGTCTTCTTTATTTTCTTTTCCGTGGTGATATTTCTCACTGGGAGCAGATTCTTTTTTGTTATTATCATCTCTCCCTGTGCGTGTGTGTGTTTTAACAGTCATTTGGGTCTTGGGGAACAGATTGGAGCCATTGAGGGTTTCAAGCAGGAAGGTGACATGGCAGGATTGTCATGTAAAATGACCATCTGAGCAGCTCTGTGAAGAGCGGTGAGGAGTGTGGGAGGGTAGGCTCGGTAACAGCGGGGACGGTAGAGTGTTGGGGGGTCACCCAGATTTGAGATGACAGTGGTGTGGAGCCATGGAGAGAGAGGTTTGGGATTTTTTTTTTTTTTTTGAGGTAGAGCCAACAAGCTTGATGATGGTTTGAGGGGAGAAGCAAGGTACATGCAGGTGTCATTTGCTGGAATGAGAAAGTGAGGGGAGAAGCAAACTTCAGTGGTCGGGTGGTGGCAGGCGCAGAAGAGCAAGAATCCTGTTTGGACACGTTAAGTATGGAAAGCAAGTAGGCAGCTGGGCGTGGGGTTCTGGAGCCAAGGACCAAGCCAGCCTGGCCCCCCGCATGTCGGGGCTGCGGCACACAGAAGCTGTGCACCTCCAAGCCCTGCCCTCACATGTTAGACATGGAGGCAGCTTTTATGGGCGCTTCCCTTGACCCTGCCTTGGGGTCTTTAGCCAAGTACTTATCTGCAATCGACTCCTGAGAAGGCTTGTCGAAACTTCTACCAGAATTCATATTATGCTCATATTATTCACGGCTGCCAGACCAGCCCCACCCCATTTTCCATTTAATGAGATTTAGGGAGACATCCAACATTTCCAAATATCTTGCCTGGAAGTTGTCAGTTATACTGTGTATAATCGGAAAGTACAATAGTGACCCCATTGTTTTTCTTTTTCTTTAATTGTACAAGGCTGATGCCAGGTAAATTGTATTATATTTAGAAAAAAAAGGAACAGGAAGTAAAAGTCAGTTACTCACAATGAGTGAGTGTGTTTAATGCCCCCGCAGCTCATACTTCTCTAGTGGCAGCATTTGGAGCCCCGGCCAAGCCAGTTTTAACACAACCAAAATGCTGGAAGGCAGGGCACTAGCCTGGGCCCATCAGGCCAAGGAGGGCGATGGAGCCCATGGCGCCCCTGCTCTGCTTGCTGGGTTCTCCTGTATAACAGCCAGAGGCATAAAGGACTCGTCCAATAATCTAGGCCAAGCCCAGGCTGGAGACTATTTGTGGGTAGTACACCCCTCCACCCCCCACAGCTAGGAAAAATAAGAAGGGAGGGAAGACTTCCAATGTGTTCTGGTGGGCCCGCTGGATAAAGTTGAAGAGGTGTCTGTTCTCCGGGTCCGAGCTGTACATGGTGGGATACTCCACTTTGTACTTCTTGTGGGCCTTGGTAACATCAATGGCAAGGTGGGCAGCCATGATGAAGCTGGCTGCCCCTTCGGAACCACGAACCTGTACTCCTCGGAGAGGACAGCCATCTTGGCTCCGGATCGCCTTGGAAGGGCTGGTACAGACCCCAGGCACACAGCGAAGTGCCAATAGTTATCCACAGAAGATCCGTTCCGAGACCCCCAGTGGACACTTGAAACCGTGGACAGTACTGAATCTTATATATACCATGTTTTTCCTTCTCACTGAAGGGAAACACTCTCTCTTTGGTGTATCCGAATTGCCAACATTACTGCATTTACGATTTGTTAAGTAGAGTGAGCATGAGCACAGTGACACCGTGACAGCTGATCTGATGACAGAGATGGCTACTAAGTGACGAATGGGTAGATGGCTCCAAGCACAGCATGGACACACTAGACAAAGGGATGATTCCCGTCCTGGTCGGGACGCAGCAGGATGTCACCAGGTTTCATACTCAGAATGGTACAGAATTGAAAACTTACAAATCGCTCACTCCTGGAATTTCTCACTCAACATTTTTAGACTGCAGTTGATTGTGGGTGATTTAAACCATGGGTGAGGGGGCACTACTGTGTCAATGAACCACTGAGAGTGAGGATGATGAACGCGCAAATGCACTATACGCATTACTCTGTGTTTTGTTATCTTTGTCCTCCCCCAATTTCCAGTCTTGCCTCAGGCCAGGGGAAGGGATTCCAGATATAATTTTGCGTTGACAAATATCGAACTCAATGTGTTGAGTATCCACTAGCCATAGGCCCTGGGATGGGAGGGACAGGGAAAGTGTGGGGAGAGGTGCTGAGGAAGTCCCAGGCACTTGTGAAAAGTTCAAGTTCCGTGAGGCCAGGTATTGGGTCAGTGTCTTCATCTGACTCCTCAGTGTTGAAAAACTTTGATAATTAATAAGTGCCCTTTAAGCACACAAATACTAATTTTAAAATTTACACGTGAAAGACCATGCTTCCCTCCACCCACCCCATCCTCATCAGTCACCGTGAAGAACGAGTGACTGGGTTTTTCTCTCAGAAAATGTAATTACTGCGTAATGAAATGTTAATGCTATGTTCTATTCTTAAAGTCACTTGTTCCGGTGATGAAGCTGTGCCCTAATAGAGTTGCTGAATTTTCTTCTCAGACATTCTTTTAGTGTTTTCTACTTGTTGGATGTGCTGGTGATGACTGGGGCTTCTTCGTTTTCACCAACAGGACTATCTCGGCAAAAACGCACCATCAGGCCGTCAACTTCAACATCTTCGAGGGCATGGTCTGCCACGGGGTGCCCCTGGTGACTATTTCCAGGGGCAAGGTGGTGTACGAGGCTGGAGTTCTCCATGTCGCCGCGGGACAGGGGAAGTACATCCCGCGCAAGCCGTTTGCTGAGTATGTTTACAAGAGGATCAAACAGCGGGACCAGGCGAGTTGTGCCTCAGCGACAGTCACCCCGGGCTGGACTGTCAGCCGGTCTGGGTGGTGGTGGTGGTGTCACCTACACTCAATTCAGCGCGCTCCCGGGACATCAGAATTGACAGGAAAGGTTCCAAACCAATACCAGCTTTCAAAGAAAGACTCGTTATTGGATGGTTGCGTTTTCCCTTGCAGACCGGCATCCATCCGTTCAGGGTTTCCTGACGGACCAAGGCAGGTGTTCCCAGGCGATGCAGGGACGCCGGGGGCTTTCGGCAGCTGGGTTAGTCCGGGTGCTCTGAGAAGCAGGCGCCCACGTGAACAAAGGTGTGGCACTTCCCCTGCGTGGTAGGGTTCAGTGACCCTCCGTCTGGCAAACCTACCAAGGGAGCCAGCCTTGAAATGAGGGGGCCCAGCTTTGCCACATTGTCCAATCGAGGCACCCCACAGAGTACGTTTTTACCCTCGCCTGAGGGAAAATTTATTGACTTTAGAGAGAGAGGGAGAGAGAGAGAGACTGATGTGAGAGAGAAACATCGATTGGTTGCCTCCTGTACAAATCCCAACTGGGGACCAAACCCACAACCTCGGTATGAGCCCTGACCAGGAATCGAACCCATGACATTTTGGTGTACAGAACGACACTCCAACCAACAGAGCTACCAGGTCAGGGCCTCACAGGGTATTCTGAGTATTAAATAAAAACATTTCGTAGATTGTAAAACATATAGAAAAATACACCTTTTCACGATATAGATCACCTCTGTTGAACCCCGAGGCTGCTCAGATCCTAGCCATTCACTGTCCCTGTGGAGGTCCCTTCAAAATGTGCCGATGCCTGTTGCTCAGCAGGCAGGCTCGGGTTCACTCTCAGGGAGCTGCTGTTAACTGGACTGTTCCGTGCTGGCCGATGTCTGCTGTTTGGTATTTGGAAGTTCTATCGACTCTATTGCTTTTTTAGCACCTTGGCCTCCGTGGGAAGCGTGGGGCCACAACCTTGTCCACTCCCGACCCTTGGATGCTTCGCCCTGGTCTGTGTGTCCGATGCTGCACAAATGTCCTCTAAGCATCAGACAGACACTCGGCGGGGAGACTGGAGGTGGCGTCCCTGTGGTCCCCGAGCTCCTCTGGGAAACCGGGGGAAGAAGCCCACTCTATTTTTGCCGCAGCCACCAGGACAACCCGCTAGTACTAAACACTGGTCCCCCCTGACGTGGGCGCTCACGTCAGGGCCTGGCAGCCCACCCTTCAGATGGAGATTCGTCACTGTCACTGGAGAGCACTGGCAAGCCCACTTTCCCTCCGAGTGGTAGGCTGAGTCTACCGAGAGAACAAATGTGCACCCGAACTTCTTAATTCCACGGGGAGGGCTGATTCTGCAGCACCGTCACAGTGGCCATCCACCGAGGTCCTAAAATATGCACAGCATGCGGAGTCGGGGGCGTGCGCAGCATGGAGGTGACCGGGGTGTGGCTCTGGCATGGAAGAGCTTACGTGACCCACCGTGAAAGAGGAGAGAATATTAAAGGGTTAAAAGTACTGGGCAGCCGAGACCAGAACTTAAACAGTCTTTGATTTCTGTCAGTTTATCTACCGAAGGGGGAGATGGGGACACGTGGGACAGCAGGAGACTCCTCGAAGAGGGTCTGTTTATCTCCGAGGTGGCGGTGCCCACAGCAGTCTTGGCCGGAAGCCAGGCCCCGCCCTCCTTGAGCTCCAGGCAGATGAGGAGGGAAAATGTGTGCGGATGAGACCTGGCCAGTCGGGTCAGAGACATTTGCTGGTCACTGTGACCAGGGTGGCCGGCCAGCCTGAGAGGTGCCTGGTGGCTTTGGTAGTTCAGAGACTGAGCAGTCGGAGCGAGGTTCCTAGATCACCAGGGCAGCTGAGGCCTGCCTGGAGGAGGCGGCCAGCCGCAGAGAGAGGGAGGCCTGAAGAACAGATAAACGGTGAAGCACAGCTACGAAGTGTGGGGGAAATCGAGTCAGCCCAGGCGGGGCAGCCCGCCCTGAGCAGGGAAAGCTCAGGTGGGGATCGCCGCCCGTGAACAGGTTGGTAGGAGCTGATCAACTGTTTACTGAGCACTTGCTATGGTGAAACAGAGCAGCTCGCTGGCCCTGAGCCTGATGGGAGAGACAGACAAGTAGACCACTGGTTACAGAAAACGGTGCAAACAGGACGGTGGGTATGGCGGGGAGGGCGGAAGCTTCCATGGCTGATGGCTGAGTCACAGAAGATAAACAGGAGACACTCGGGCAAAAAGGAGGGTGGGCAGAAAGACCCAGGAAGGGGGCTGACCTGCCTACTTTGAGTCCTGTACCACCCCTGAGCCTGCAGCTGGGTTCAGGAAAGCATCTTGCGAGCCACTGACCTGCTCTGGAGCAAGGCCAGCCCTGAATGGGGAGGATGGGGCCACGGGCTTAATGGTCCTGCCTAAATCATCAGTGTTGGCGTTCAGTTCCTAAGGACACCCAAGGCAAGACAGAAAAGTGACAGCTGAGAACCACAAGCAGAAAAGTTTCAAAGGAACCTTGGGGCCAAAGGGAGATGAAGTAAGAGCTGATGAGGGACACACAGCAGGAAGGCAGGTGACACAGAGACCTGCCCACTTACGTCACTCTCTCTGGGGAGAAAGAGGCTGCGGCAACCACTGTCGATTGAACTGAAATACGGCACCGGGTTTTGCTGAGTACAAATGCCCAAAGGAAAGGAGAGGAGGCAAGATCTTAGATTGTAGGCAAGATGAGGGGTAGCGGGAAGGGGAAAATAAATCCTGGTTTGTTTGGCCAGTCCTGGATTACACCCATTAATTCCATTCGGCACCCTTTATACTCTTAGAAGTGTCCCAGTTTGAATGATAAATTATACAGTCACCCTAGGTTTAAAGACACACCATCCAGTCCGGCTTGAAAAGGAAACCGGGAGAGGAAAAAATACAGAGACCGAAGACCTGAGAGTGAGGATGTGGTCAGAGTGAGGGCTAGTAAACGAGTCGAAAGTTTCAGGGGTAGATCAGCTCCAGTACCACAATGTCCAGGGGCTGGGGAAAGCTGGCACGTCATTTCCCCGTGTGGATATTCTTCCAGATGATGACAGGATCCGGGATGGGGAAAAGGACTGAGTCGATAGTGAGCCCAAACGGAAGTCCCACCAAGCATCTAACCAGACACAGAGGGGGACCGAGGCTCACACGGGGCGGGGGGGGGGGCAGGGGTCCTCCCGCTGACTGAGCACCCAGAGTGACTTCTTCTTGGCTTTCGCCTGTGTGCCTGCATTGTCTATGCTCCATAAATACCTTCTGAATGATTGAAGGAAGTGCTTTGTATCTGAGAAATCTCATGCATCTGGGAGAGGAGTTTTATTCCCTCCGTTCCAGAGATGCATGGATAGGCTCAGAGGGGCATCGGCTCGCCGGGTTCCTGTACCCAGTAAGTGGCAAGGCCAGAATTCAGACTTAGATCTGTCTTGGTCCAGTCACTACAATATATTAGTCTGGGGGATCAAAAGAAGACCTACAGTAATTTGTTACAATTCGTCTGTGTGTGTGTGTTACATAAAGAGACATACATGTATTTCATTGTAAAGAGCCTATTATGTGGTAGGCACTTTTCTAACTGCCTTATTTATATTTAATGCTCTCAGTGTTTCTAATCTTCGAGACCACCCTATAAAGGAGGAGGCGTTACTGCCCCCAGTTCACAACTAAGGGAACTGAAGCATGGTGTTGAGTAGCGCGCCCAGGGGGTCTGCTTCCAGAACCCACAGCCCAGACCACTGTGATTGGCTGCCTCTTGGCTTGTCAGTGGATTCGTGTGTGTGTGTGTGTGTGTGTTTACAGTTTGGTTTAGTTGCTCCTCGTGAGTCCCTTTGTTTGTGAAGTCCAGATTTGAACTCTCCTCATGCAGTGAGTTCATTCCAGCTGAGTCCAGCCAGGGTTCTGTGAAGATGTGAGAGTCTATGGAAGGCCTGTTACCCATGGTGGCCATCAAGAAAGTGAGAACAGAAACCCACAAAATTGCTAGAATCTGAACCAAAATGACATGAATCTTAACAGAGGTATAGCAGAGCACTTCAGGAATACAGATGTCTAGAATGTTTGAAAGGACAAGGTGGTGATAGGACTTAGGGGCGGGAGGATGTGACAGAGGCCCCGGTAAAAGTTGGAATGGAAAGATGATCATTAGAAAGTGTTCCCTGGGGCCTTGTCCAACCCAGAGTAACTCCAGCAAAGAGCAGGGCAATGCAGGCACCCGAGGTTTCAGAAAACTTCTGTGAAGGGGCCAGGGTTTGGAGGCATAGGAGAGGGTCACAAGATTCATTTGTGCTCTAACAATTTAATAAGGGAACTGCACTTAGCTTTGAGTTCAGGAAATCAATAAACAAACCACAAGAGAAAAATGAAATATTCTTTTTCAGATTTGCACACCCACCCCCGTGGAGCGTGACCCCTACAAGGGAGAAGTTGTGCTACTACAACAGTAGAGAAAAACAAAAGAATCCACAGCTGGAATCGGGAAACAGACCTACCCCTGACCAGAGGGCTGTTGGTGGAGGAAGAGAGTATCCTTGCATGACAACATATAAAATTAACATCTCTCTCTTCATAAGCATTTGAAGAGTCCATGGTCCCATGGTCAAGGTCAAAGGCTTCAAAGTGATATATGACTCAAGGACAATTGTGTGAAGGGAAGACAGATAAAATACTTCTCGACGCAGAACACTCAGATGAGCCTCCAGATTGAAGGAGGCCTTGGGCTAGAGATTAGTTCTCTGGGATGTTAGGACAGTCGACAGCGCTGTAGGGAATCAAACACAACCAAGAAGCAGTAGACTGGTAACACCGACCACCTGTTATTGGGGAACAGTGCACTGCCTAACACAGGGAGTATGTTTCATGGTCCAATGTATAAACTGATGGAGACTTTATCTGGAAAAGCCAATCTTCATACTGTAAAGGCAACTATGTTCTAGAACTTAGAGGGAATGAAAAAATGAATCATGTGGCTTTTAGGGGTATAATTTTTTTTGTCAGAAAAATTATTTGATGGTATTTGATGTACTTTATTTCACACTTAATTTTTGGAATGATATTATAGATAGGGTCATTTCTGAATAAATGTTTTTGCCTTTCATCAGTTTTCTCTTAGTGGTTTTTGACATCTGAAACTTTCTATTTTGTGTACCTATTACCACCATCCCACAAATTTTCTTCTAATTCTTTTTTTTAGTCGTTTTCTGGTCCTGCTGTGCCAGAGATCTATTTGATGGTAGCTTTGCTGTGATTTAGGCCTCTCTCTAACATTTCCACTGACTTCATGAAATCTGCACATTTTCTGTTTTATAATTTCACTTGACTCCAAATTTCTAAAACCCATGATACATTTTCAGATGTTTCCAAAGAGTGCCATCTGCAAACTGTTACCCAAAAGTTGACCTGAGGGATAGATGTTCGGGTCAACTGGGGTCACCGCTTGCCAGAGGACCAGGACTAACAGGCCCAGTTCAGCATTGCACGTTTTTCCATGATGATAACCCATGTTTTCCTCCGTAAACTCTGTGACCTGAACAACACGGCTTTGTGCCTTCTGGGCTCTGCCCTCTTTCACAATTGAGGGTTGAGTCTTTATCAGCGCTATAGGGCCAAACATTTCCGCTTTCTGGCCATTTCCTGGCTATTGAAATCATTCTTGCCATCCAGGAAGATGGTGTGAAAAATCCAAAGGAAGATTAGCCAGAGGAAGGAATTCTGCTGAATGCTCTAACATGCTTCTGGCAGCATTTGGGGAGCAGGGCAATGTTTACTTTGAAGACAGCATTCCCTGAGGGTTAGGCTAGAGCCCGGCACCTGTTTGTGAAAGGGACTGTTACACTGAGTTCCTTTCATTCTGTTCAAAAGCAGAGGCAGAGAAAGGACGCTGTGGTTGCCATCACAGCATCCGCGTGGAGAAGCCAGCCCTATTTCAGCTCCCCGAGGTCCTTCTGAAAGAATAATTGCTCCAGGCCTCTTTGGTTTTTTTTCAGAAGCAGTCACTGTCGTTCTTGCTGTGACTTTGCTGCTGTGTGAAATTGAAGATATAAATGAATATTACTGTGACGGGAAGTCGGTCTAAAAATGCATTGATGGTACCTCAAAATGTTATCTTTGCTTGTACTAGATTTTTTACTTTGAATTTTTAAAAAATCCCTTTTTTTTGTTTGATGTTCTTTTAAGGGCAACATTTGTTTAATATTAGCAAGCTATGATTTTACATCCAGTTGTAATTAATAAACACTTAGTTCTCCATTATAATTAATAAACACTTAGACCTTCATTTTATATCCGAGTTTTCTAACTAGAAGAACAGGGACACTGGGAGGTTGGCTCTGTTTCAGAAGCATCATTCCCTGCATGACCTTTGTTCCAGCAGCTCCTGGAAATCAGGTCCCTCAGCAAACACCATGGAATCAAAGTGGATACTCAACCTTAGGGTGACTCCAAGGTCGGTTATCCACTCGCTCCCCCTGCCCCCCATGAATGCAGGACCTGAGAGAATTCAGGGGAACCGGGATGGCTGAAAGGTGCCCTCTCCCCTGTGCTTCCTGGTCTGTACTGGGATCCTTCTGTGTGCAGAAGCTGAGCTTGCATTTATTCTCCTAGGTAAACAGGTCAAGAGGAATTTATAAAATGCGGATCAGGCGACACTCAAGGCAATCATGCTCTCATTGCGGGGTATCTGCCCCCGACTTACTCACTTAGATCATGCTGTATTTGGCAGAGGGCGGTGGGAATACATTCACTCAACCGTGATTTGTATTGAACACACCTGAGAAAGGACAGTGACCTACACCTAACGGAGAACCACGGGTCTCTTTTTCCTCGGGTAAGAAATGCATTAAAATATTTTATTACCTGGGCTTCCGCCAAGATGGAGGTGTAGGTGGAAACACTATACCTTCTCCCACAACCAAGTTTAAAAACAACAAAGTTTTAGCAAGAAAAATGCAGCCAAACTACAGAAAATTGAACTATACAGAAGTCTGACAACAACGAACCTTTCAGCCAGGCTGGTAAGAGGGGCAAAGCCAGCAGTGGAGCGGGTCCAGTAGGAAAGATCCACCGGTCCGACCAGGGTGCACGACCCAGGCATGCAGGCAGCTGTGGGCGGATCCCAGGTGTGGAGTAGCAGCGGGCGGATCCACTGAGGGTGCAAGGCGGCAGGCTGACCACGATCACACATTCTCGCGCAGATAAACCAGTGAAAAAGCGAGCAGTGAGACGAACGGCGAAGGCCCCAGCAGCAGGGAAGCAGCAGAGGCAACCACTATTGTCCCTCTCTGACCCCGCCCCCACATGCAGCGTCACAAACCAGCGACCTGGGTGGCCCCGCCCTGGTGAACAACTAAGGTTCCGCTCCTCATATATAACAGGCACGAACAGACCAAAACATGGCTCAAGAAGAACTCAAAGCTCCAGAGCCAATAACTCTAAGTGACCAAGAAATAGCCAAACTTTCAGATGCACAGTTCAAAACACTGGTGATCAGGATACTCAGAGAACTGGTTGATTTTAGTCACAAATTAGAGGAACATATGAAAGCTAAATTAATTGAAATGAAGGGAAATGCACAGGAAACCAGTAGTGATGGAAAGGAAACTGGGACTCAGATCAAGGGAGTGGACCAGAAGGAAGAAAAAAATGACCAAACAGAAAAATGTGAAGAAACAAGAATTCAAAAAAATGAGGAGAGGCTTAGGAACCTCCAGGACATCTTTAAACGCTCCAACGTCCAAATTATAGGGGTACCAGAAGGGGAAGAGGAACAGCCACCAGTGGAAACCTTATTTGAACAAATAATAAAGGAGAACTTCCCCAATCTGACAAAGGAAATAGACTTCCAGGAAATCCAGGAAGCTCAGAGAGCCCCAAAAAAGTTGGACCCAAGAAGGAACACACCAAGGCACATCATAATTATATTAGCCAAGATTAAAATGAAGGAGAGAATCCTAGAAGCAGCAAGAGATAAGGGGACTGTCACCTACAAAGGAGTACCCATCAGACTGTCAGCAGATTTCTCAAAAGAGACCTTCCAGGCAAGAAGGAGCTGGAAAGAAGTATTCCAAGTCATGAAAACCAAAGACCTACAACCAAGATTGCTCTATCCAGCAAAGCTTTCATTTAGAATGGAAGGGCAGATAAAGTGTTTCTTAGATAAGATCAAATTCAAGGAGTTCATGATCACCAAGCCCTTATTATATGAAATGTTAAAGGGACTTATCTAAGAAGAAGAAGATAAAAAAGATGAACAGTGAAAGGACAGCCAACTCACAGTTATTAAGAACCACACCTAAAACAAAAGCAAACTAAAGGGACAGCTAGATCAGGAGCAGAAACATAGACATGAAGATCACATGGAGGGTTAGCAACAGGGGAGTGGGAGGAGGAGAAGGGAGGAGAAGGTACAGAAAATAAGTAGCATAGACGGTAGGTAGAAATAGGGGGGAGGGCAAGAATAGTATGGGAAATATAGAATCTAAAGAACTTGAGACACGTGGTCATAAACTAAAGGGGGGGAATGGTGGGGGAGGGGGTTTGCAGGGTGAAGGGGAATGAAGGGGTGAAGAGAACAACTGTAATTGCATAATCAATAAAATATTTTAAAAATATTTTATTACCTTTCTCTTCTTCTTTGGTTGCCAGTAGAAACTCTATACTTAACAACTATAATTGAACAACAATAAAGTAATTAAAAAAAAAAGAAACTCCACAATTAGATGACAGAATCCTTGAGGGAAAAAAAAATCACATGGCTTTCTAATTTAGAAGCCAATTCTCACTCATCCTTAGTATTCATCTGAACTGTCACCCCCTCTCTGAGGTGTTCCCAGATTCACCACGGGGGGTTCGATCCCACTTTTATTCTCCTCCTTCACAGGGCCCCGCATACGCCCAACCACAGAACCGCGTCTTGTTGCACAACCATGACCTGCTGTCCTGCCGCCCTCCTCCAGGAAGTGGGAAGCTCAGGCAGGGCAGGGCCTGCCCAGGTCACTGTGTTCTTCTGGCATATAGCTCAGTGCCTGGCAACTGATGGGCATTTGAGGGACAGTTCATTTTTAAATAAAGGAGAGGTGAAGGAGCTCCTGCTAAGCTCCTGAGTTGATATAGATGGAGTTAGTGAGCATTCTCAACAAAATCAGAAACACATTTTGTGGAACGTGTTGGTGTAAGGTAGGTTTAAGTGAAGAATGCAGATTCATGATCAGTTTAATAGATCTATTATTGGGTAGGAGGCAAGAGCTGCAAGACTCTGCAACAACAAAGTCATTTGAAATGAGAAGAGGATCCCTTTCTTGCTTTTATTAGGCTTTGTTGCAAAAATTTTGCAGAAACATATTTCTAAATAATCATAGAAGGCAACAGGAAAACTATTAATATCTCACACTGTGTTGCTCAGTGTGGCCTCTGGTGGACACAGTAAAGGGCAGACGGACTGAGTAGCACTCCTTCTCTAATTCTCCTTCCACTGGAAGCAAAAAAAAAAAAAAGTTGGGGGTGGGCTCAAAACTTCTATTTACTAGCTGTGAGGTCTTGAGTCATTTTTTAAATTCAAATACATGGTGAGCTTATGAATACACAAAAAGTAAATATTTAACATAACCATACCTATGGACCCATTATCCCAGTTAAGAAATAATTTTTTTTAAATAAATTTTTACCAGTACAGTTTAAGTGCCCTGTTTCTTCCCCTTTTCTTCCCCCTCTGCCCCCAAGGGCCCGATGTCCAGCATCTGGAGCTTTCATCTCATGTGCATCCTTCACGCCCCTGCTCTCCAGGCACACCTCTGTGAGCATGTGCTGTCCACAGCGAACCTGCACAAAAATATCCTATAGTACGTCTTGTTTTTTAGTTTGCTGTTTTTTTAGCATGAATTGTTTTCATTTCTGCTTTTTTTCGGTCAATGTGTTGGGGAGCTATCTGTTTCGATAAGTCTGGCTGTCATTTCCCATTTTATTGCTAGATGATATTTTATCACGTACCCATATTCAATCATTTTGCTCATTTTCCTGTTGATAGGCACGTAGGGCGTTCCATCGCCTCTTTGTCATGAACAGCGCTGCTGTCAGCATTTGTGCGTGGGTTCCTTGTACCCA